GACGGGGCTTGTGCCGGTGATGCCCTCCTTCAAGGAGATCAAAGCCAAAACATGAAACTGGAGATGGGCTTTCATTCATGGAGCATGTCGGCTTTCCAAGGAAGAGATTTGCCATTCTGGCTGCAGCCATTAGCCAACTGGAGCAGCTCAGATCCAGCACTGTTGCAGCCTACTGTTGTTACTGGTTTGGTGTAACCATAGCTGCTGCTTGCAAACTTCAGTCATTGATAAATACTAGGCGTGGGGGTCAAATATGATCAGCAGCAGTGCTGTGCAGTGGATCAAAAACCATGGCTGCTCAATCTGAAATGCAAATATTACATTTCATACATTTTATTTAAAAGCACGGTTTGTTTGTTTTTTTATAGCTGTGTCAATGTTTTCACCAGCGCTCATTCAGTTGGGCATAGGTCAGTTTGTTTGAAGTCTGAGGTTCTGCCCGGCACAGAAACTAAAACAGTGCTGTGAACACATTAGCGGCAAACTGTGGAAGCTTGTTTCCTCCAATGGAAAAACAAATTGTGATCCATAACTCGAAATCTGGAATTATGCAACTTAAATTTCGAGAAAACAACTTGAAATGTCAAATTAATAAGTCACAATCTCGAGAAAATGCGGAAGGCACCAGCTGCCCAACAGCTCATCGTGAACAGATTGAGTCCAGACCTCTTATGTTGTTATCGTTGGCTCGAAGGCATTCAAAGCTGAAAAACCTGTGATTTTGCCATTTTGGTATTGAATTAGTTCAGGTCAAAACTAACAGACTCAAGTGACAAAAAGTAGCATCGTATAGTCACAAAACTCTGTTCCCTGACAGGTAAAAATCAGTGTTTCTACAGTGACCCTGAGAGGTCAAACCCACCGAAACTTAAGGAAGTGACAGCGAATAGAAAAATGCTGCTAAAGCTCACAGAACACAACCAAAGTCAAATAAAACAACACGTTTGCTATTCGCTGTTTACTGTTAGCTTGTTATTTTCTCCACAAAACACTTCTGTTGTGTTTTAGGGGTTTTTTGTGTGTTTTTTTCTATTTCCATAGTGTTTTATTCAGCTTCCACTGTGTTTTGTGTGGTTTTGCAGCAGTTCTCTATTTACTGATGTTTTGCAAGTTGCACTGTGTTTGACCTCTCAGGGCCACCACAGTTTTCAGCAGTCATTCTTTGAAAAGAGTGATTGCTTGCCTTGGTGTATCATGTCCACAAAGCAACAAGCTTTCCTTTTCTTCTCACACATGCTATTACTACCAACTTAAAGTGTTCCTTCAACCTTGAGTGATTGTGGGGTATATGCCGTCTCACACTCCACTCTGGAGGAGAGCTTTCAAAGTGATCTTCAGGTGCAAGCAAGTTGTTTGTTGAGACACAACAACAAACTACACTGACACAAATTATAGGACTTTTTTTCTTCTGAGGTGTTATTAATATGCTCTTAAACATGAAAACATGATCCGGCCTTTATAAGCACCTTTTAGTTTGACTGAAACTGTTTACCTGACCCGGCATGACTCCAGGATATATGATGCACAGGAATGAACAGGAAAAAAAAGATCATTTCATTGTTGATTGTAACTGAAGACCCAATTCAAAAAACCTGTTTTCATTTCATCGTTCAGAGTTACTCTGTCCTTGAGCATTGTCTTTAGGATGAATGAGATACAGTGAAGTGTCCGTGTGCGTGAAGAGGCTGAAGTGTCCTCGAGCAAGACACTGAATCACTGGCAGCTTCACCATCCTGACCTCTGACCTCCCCGTGGAGGCTTGTGAGCACAAAAGCAATTTCCCCACAATGATCACTAATGCATCACATTACCATCCTATAAATGGGAAAAGCTATAATGTGTCATAATTTGTGTCATCCATCATGTTGTCAGAGAGGGAGTGGTTGCTGTTTCTGCCAGAGAGAGTGGCTGTCTATTGATTTAATCAACAACTGGAGGCTTATGTTGAGTTTTTCCTTTTTCTACTTTGTATTAAACTGTAACCTCACATTGTTATTTTCTGTCACTTTCTTTTTTTTTTTTAATTAACCAATTGTGCTTTTTTCCCCTCCATCTATGGCTCAGGTAGTAGAGCGGGACATCTACTAATCAGAAGGTCATCGATCCTTGACTTCCCCGGTCCACATGCCGAATTATCCTTAGGTATGATACTGAAACTCAAGTTGCCCCCAATGCATTCATTGGAGAGTGTGTTTGTCTGTATTAGAAAGTGCTTAGGCATAGATAAATGTGTTTGTTTACCTGAAGCCTAACCTTGGCCAAAGTTCCACATAATTAGATCAGTGCATGTATGAGTAATCTTAACCTTCAGAGCGATCCGTTTGAGACAGTCGTCTCGACTCGGTCATTTGTAATGATGACAGCACGAGCACATATCTCTAATGTGGTCATGTCAGACAAGCAGCACTGACTGCGAGCACCGAATTCATCCGACTGATTTCAAAACCTTCTGTTTGCGTGTGCAGCCAATTAGAGGAAAGCTGTTTAGAAGGGAGGAGGAGCCAAAAAAAGCATCATTTTGAAGTGCACATCGTTCAAAGCTACACAAGTTTAATAAGAATCAGAGATGAGCATATTAGGTTCATCTTCATGTTTTTATATTTTATTTCAGTTTCATTTTTTAGTCTCTTTACATCAGATTTCAGTGTAGATTATTCCTTATTTGCATTTTTTAATTTGTATTTTATGCTTCAGTTTTTGTCCATTATTGATGTATTCATTTATTTATTTATGCGTGTTCTGGGTTAATCCTCCGATTGTTAATAGTCAAACACGCTGCACAGAAACACATGATCGCAAAATAAAGAATAAAGTATTAAAGACAGAAGAAACTCAGGGAAATACTCCCATCTCCATATCTGCCTCCAGATTATGCTGCTGCTGCTGTTGTTGTTGTTGTTTCCATGACCCGCTTTCCACTCGCAGGCTTTGGCCTCAAATCTTAAGAGACTGTAATGTTTTTCTTCCCCTGTTTTCATGTGTGTTTACATCCCCCATCACTCTGTAGAGAGCAAAGTGACAAACCCATTTTGTTAAGCAGTCTTTTATAAATATATTTTATTTGACTTAAAAAAGAAACGGGCTCTGAAAGGCTCCCGACTGCAATAACCAGCATACTTATCTGAACTCCTCTGTGGGTCTGAGACCAAATGCAGCGCATTATCGCAGAGCCCAGAACAGGCTTTACCAACGCCTAGCAAACTGCAACCAGATGACTTGAGCTCACCTAACCACAGAACCTGGGAGGGGGTGACTTGTGGGGGGGTTACATCCCCTTAATCACCAAACAGCTGCCTCTATAGGAGAGCTATAAAGCTTCAAGATGGCACCTAAAACCAACATTAACTGAAAGAGTTTTAAAAACAGAGCCATAGGAAACCAATTTCCCCCACTACCAAACAAAGTGGGGGGAAAAAGCCCCTCAGCTTTTCTCCCTGTTGCAGAAAACCCATTAAATTCGTCTGAAAGGATCAGTGTGGATCAGTCCCGTGAATGCATGTCACGAAAGGAGTGGGGGGTGGTGAGCAACCGCTAAGGGACAAATCCTGGCAGACAAGGTGCATCACTGAAGGAAAAAAAAAAAAGAAGAAAGAAATACGGTAAATCCCACAGGAGTCGAGGGGAAAAGAAAAAAAAAGGATAACAGAAGACTGAACATCTGTCCTCCTGTCGCAGGTGATTATTTTGGGGCGAGCGGAGTCGGGATGAGGCAGTTTCTCCTCCTTGTTCCAGGAAAACAAAAAGCCGAGTCTGACCTCGGTGGCAGACGAGGAGCGGCTGGTGCCGATCAGACCTGAGCAAACACTCTCCCATCCATCTCGCCTTGATTCAATCGAGCATCTGTTGTTTGCATTCCAGATTATTTAATGGTGTGAGGGAGTGAAAGAGGAGGCTGAGCAGATCCAAACAAAAGTAAATATGGATCCATGTTCTTTAGCCGTTATGACAGGTGAGAGCGTTAACGCGAGCAGGTAAAATTACAATTAATTCACTATCCACACAATGTTTTTGGAAAAGAGCCTCCCACAGATGACATAGTGGCTGGCACAACAGCTGTTCTCATCAAGAGATCTTTTTTTAGCTGCTTAATATGCTTACAAGATAATAGACACACACACTCAAACAAAGTAGGAATCTTATGTAAATGATTGAGAGTTCTGGGAAACGTACGACGAGCATGAAACATGTCACTGATATGTATCAATATCATTTTTTTAAAGACCATAATGTAGAAAAAGATGCCGGTGTAATGGTGCAGTTGTGTATTGCGTCCACGACAATGGTTCCAGCTCCAGTGTTTACACATGCACACTGCAGCACATGTAGCAGAGAAGCATCACAGCTGAGCCGGCTTTCAGAGGGACCTCTGTGGTTGGCAAACGCAGTCGTCAGAGCCTGTAAATGGCTGTTTACTGCCAGGAATCAGTGTGGTCTGTGGGCACCACATGAATCATTTTTTTTTCAAGCAGAATCGAGTCATAGCTGGAGCATAACTGAGCGACCAAATCAGTAACCCAATCGTTTTAATCTTCACTGTGATTCTAGCATATTGGGGAAACATGAAAATGCTTTGTTACTCTGATTCTACGTGAATAAATACTGAACCATTCAACAAATGTTTGGTAAATCTGTGGGATGGATTTGTGTCATATAAAAAGGAGTCTTGTAACAGGTCGACAGAGGTCGGATCTAAACTTTCTGGAGTCAGCCTGGGAAAAGGTGAAGCAAGAGAAGACACTGACAAGCTGTAAATCTACAGAAGCAGACCTGTAGTGAGTTTTTCAAAGGCTGCCAAATCCCTCGAGAAAGAAACAGTACTGCTTAAAAGGCAAAGAGCGGGCACTATATATTAATTTGATTTAAGTTCCTTCTATGTGTACTCTGCTTTAAAAGCCAGAATCTCAGAGGTCCATTAAGAAGTGGGCAGTTTGCTGATAGGCTTCAGGAATCTTTGTTTTAATGTTTTTTGCTCACTATTAGAAACCAGGTTTTCCACCAACCTTTTTCCCAGAGTACTGAGAGGCGTGCTGAGGCTGAGCTGAGTTTGGGCGGGTCTTCGGTTGCGTCCGGCCAGCTTGGCGGCTGGCCTTTCCTTCTTTGGGGACTCAGCCTTGCGAGCTGGGCTGGCGCAGGGCTTGACGTTGAGGTCCTTAAGGACGTCGTAGTTGATCTTGGAGGAGATCCTCTTCTGCTCCAGCATCTTCTCAATGGCCTCGTCAGCCGTGTTAGCTCGGATCGGGGCATGTTTCCTATTGGGGCCCCTTGGCTGTCGGGATTTCAAACAAAACTAAAGCTTAACATCGCCTCTCATAAAACAAGGACACTTTATAATCTGCAAAACATCTGGAAAACACATTACAGCAAAACAAAGTATTTGCTTCCAGATTAACCAGGTATGTGTGGGCTGTAATTTGGCTTAGCTACATGCTTATATGAGCAAGCTAAGACACTTATTTTATGCAGATTTAGGTTTAGCAGGAATTACTGTAATGTATCAGTATGCAAACATTGACCTGTACACACCGGACAAATAATATTTGTGTGAATATTTCGCGCATTAAAAATAATGGTCTTCAGGGCTGATAAATAATATCAAGGATGTACAAAATGTCGTCATGGTTACCAGTCAAATTGTTGTTTGATTTCCAATTAGTGCACAGGAGTGAACCAACATCGTCACCCCTAGACCTGTACTGCTGGGGTGAAAAATTCAAAGCTACAGGTTGTTGCTTAAAGGGCTCATTAGTCGTTACTCCCTCAGCAGAAGCGACTTTTCCTGGAGGCCCAAATTAAAGTTTTGTCCTGGCTAGGACCGCATACATTCAAAACAAGTCCTGATCAATCAGTTCTTTGAACCAGACAAAGCTCAAATGTTATCTGAAAACAGTTTGTCTTTATATTAAAGAATTTGGGTCCCATGGAGGATTTGCCCTCTAAAGGTAAGACTAAAGAACAGCTTTTCAGGCAAATATAAACGTGTTTCTGTACAAATGCAGTTTATCTCAATTAAGACACCAGATTGAGGTTATCACCCAGCTTCAGTTACTCTGCATTAACCTTGACCCCCTCTCTAAATTATGACATAGATCAGCAGAGATTTCCATAAAACTTTTAAAAACACACTTTTAAACAAGTTTCTTTACACACTTGATGTGATCAGTTGAAAGCCCCTCTTCCCCATTCAGCAGCTAATCAACACAGAATATTAACGGTTACCAAATGAGAAACAAAGGATGCTCAAATCCTTTGTGCATCAATACGATGTTCTTCCTGTTGTTTATTCAGCCACTTATTTGTCAGTGATGTGACAGTTTGCTGCTGGTTGGATAAGAGCTGTCGGGAGGCTGCGTGTCTCATTAGATCTGTTCCACTGCAGTTAATCCAGCTAGTTAAAACCAGTGAACAGATGTTGGGTCTAACAAAGGGCCTGTGCTGAGCCAAAACCAGTAATGGCAAATGAGAAGAAACCAGTTCCACAGGACTTACTGCCCGTCTGTCTGTGTTTAGTCTCAGTCTGGCTCACAGTACCGCTCACTGTCCATCTCACTTTGCAGTTTTTAATGCATCGACTCTACTTCAGTCATTTATCGCTAAAGACTGACAGGTTTAAGCTCTTCACTGCTCAGAATGTGATGCTTTTGACTGGTTTAAGCACTGAAAAATTGGCTTTTGGAGTATTGGTCAGACTCTAGTGATACTTAATTACATTACCTTGGGCAGTAACATATCCCCTTTTCTCAACTTTTGCATCTTAATGTATTTTTGTTCACTGTTCCTCTTACAAGTAAAACCTACAGAAAATAATTCACAGACAAACTGCAGCTCCAGCGATATTCTTTTGAATAAATTACTGCCTGAATGATTATCTGCCTGCACAGAATCATTAAACCTGATGGGCAGGTTTAACGACTGCATGCAGATTACACACAGTACTGAGGTACTGACATATTAAAATAAAAATAAATAAATAAATAATAAAATCATATATATATATATATATATATATATTATTATATATAATATATATATATATATAATATATATATATATAATATATATATATATAATATATATATATATATTATATATATATATATTTTTTTTGTTTTTTTTTTTTTTTTTTTTTTTTTTGATGGTTGGAGGGTCAAAAGGTGCTTCAAGAATAAAAATGAAATGTGACGAGGCTGAAATAATGTTGCTGAATCTGCAAACTTACTACACATGGGGTAAGTTTGCAGGGGTCCATCCAACTGTTTACATCTTTATCTGATCATTTCAGCGTGGCGTGCAGTTGGGCATTTAGGCCTGAGAGTTTGAGGCACTTATTACAGGCCTGCAGGAGTTCTCCTGAGGTATGTGGGACACGCATTACTAAAACTTTATAGGAGACCACTTTCCTTATTTCCAGCCACACAACTTTACTACTTTTATTCCTCAACTTTACTAGAGTTTGTTTGCATGATTCACAGTTCAAAATAATCTGTGTATTAATCTATAATACTCTATATAATACTCTATATAATAATCTATATAATAATAATAATAATAATAATAATAATAATAATAATCTGTATTTACCTTATTCTGAAAGGAGCCAAATTAGCTTCCTTCCCCCTCGATTTAAATCCCATTTTGTTCTGATTGGCTGTCCCTTGTAAACAAGCTTTATGAGGGGCAGCCAATCAGTGGGTGGGGCTTCTCAGAGCCAGAGTGTGCATATTTTGGCTAACCGTGTACAGTGACACCACACAGATCAACAAGCCCCCTTTTTGCCTTCAGAACAACTCAACAAACCCCTGCACCACCAGCAGCATGAACTGTTAATAGAAGGCAGGATGGATCTGTACTTTCATGTTGTTTAACTCTGACCAGGAAACATTTTCCTGTTGCTCATTTTTGGTTCTGTGCCAGCTGTGGACTCAGTTTCCTGTTCTCAGCTGACAGGTGTGGCACACTGCGTGCTCTTCTGCCATTGCTGCCCATCTGCTCTTCTGCATACCTTTGTTTCTGTCAGCTCAATGCAGTCTGGCCAGTCTCCTCTGACCTCTGGCATCAGCAAGAAAACTGCTGCTCACAGGATAGTTTCTCTTTTTCAACCATTGCCTGTGACCTCTGCCTGAAATACTCTGAGCAGTCTGTGTGGCATCAACAATTATGCTGCTTTTAATCGCTTTTGCTCCTAATCCGGTTGTTCAGTCTGACGTCACTAGCGTGTCTGGACCTAAACTCCGCTGCAGGTCCATATATCAAACGATCACTATGGCATTACTGAGAGTTGAAAAACTGTCTAAAGTCTTTCATCTTTAATAAAATGATCAGCGTTCTGCTCTACCAGGTGTAACAATTGAGTTTAACATCCAGGCATCCATGAAAACGGAATTTATGACATTTAACGGAGTTAGAAGTTAGCAGGGAGTTAGCTCGCTAGCTTCTATCTAAATACAATATAGCATGTCCTGACTGCGGGGTTTTGGAAACAAATTAAAACGTACAGCTCTGTTATCACTTCCAACATAAATGAAGACAGAAAACTAAACAGCAGTGACGTTTGTAGGGTTACTGAAGTTTGGCTAGCTGGTATATAATGATGTGCTACGTGACCGCTAGCGACACAGCTATGTTAGCATAATATAAACAAGCTAACTTTTTTTCCACTCGATAAAAGTTAACGTGAGTGTTCTCGGTGGTCAGGAACAAATGTAATCGCATGGCAGGATGCTGTAAAAGGACCAAACTTCAGCCAGGAGAACAACTGAGATAATCCATCCACAATACGAGGTTAGTCATTCATATACTGCTGCATGGGCTGGGCTGTAGTTACATCCTAAGGTTTTAAAAACTGAGCTTAAATAAATGATTAGCGGTAATAAAAGCCGAGGGAGGTCAACAGTGATCACTGACTGTTTTAGGAGCTTTTTGAGATTAAATAGAAGAAAATACATAACATTAAACATGTTAACAACACAAAAGCCATATTAAACGCAGACTACTTTAGGCCCGGAAGTAGGATTCGTCGCGTCATCACTGAACAACCGGATTGTGATCCTGAAGTTTGAACTCCAGCAGGTCCTCTTCACCTTCCCTACATGCCAAACTGCATTGAGTTGCTTCCATATGATTGGCTTATTAGATATTTGTACTGTCAGCTGAACAGGTATACCTAATAAAGTGACCTGTGAATATGTGTGACAGGGAATATGGGTGCTTTAATGATGTTCGTTAAACAGATCCTTCTGCAAAATGAGTCAGGCAAACTAATATCTGTGGTACTTTTCAGGTGTTTTTTCTTCTTTCGGGTCTGAAACATTTTGTCAAAAGAACAATCTGAGACATTTCAGGCACAATGAGTCTAGCGCACAGACCGATAGCCGAAGCAGAAGAATGAGCGGCTTTTTGACAGGATTGTGTAGGGTGCAGATTTCAAGTAGATAAGCGGTCAAAGTTGAGGCAGCCGCTGGTTGGACAGCTGGGAGATATGAACAGATCATGCGGCATCAGATGTGACCGGTGCTTTTACGGCTGACAAATTGTGTTACGGCCCATTTGGCCATTTTCTGTCTGACTGATCAACTCTCACCCTGCCTGACCACAAAAAAAACCATAAATAATGCTGCCTGACCATTTACCGCCTCAGACAAACTTTCTGTCATCCCGGCGAGCTCAAACAAAAATGCCTGCCCTTATCTCACAGTTTTTCAGACCGTCTGCTGTTACCTTTCTCTCTTTGTAGATCCCGAGCGCCTTCTCTTTCGCTATCTTGGCTTCCTTCTCTGAAAGAAAATAAAAGAAACAGTCTGAGCATACAAACTTATAGATAGTGCACATAAATATGACACAACCTGAACGCTCAGGTTCATTTGGAGGTTTAGCTCTGTTTGGCTGATAGAGGACTAAAAGTAGGAGGTAGATTCTGGGACAAACCAACGAATGAGCATTAACTTCACCACTGAAACACTAAGATCGTGTTGCATACTCAAAGGTACCTTTCTGCTCTTTGAGGTAGGTGGAGTTTTCTGCCATCCAGAGTGCCGTCTTGATTTTGACTTCTTTGTCACTCAGCAGATACTGCAGAGGAGCACAGGGAGAGGCAGGAGTTCACTTTACAGGGAGTTTCCCAGTTTTTTAATGTAAAACAGCCTGCTGCTAACCTCTGCGCTTAATCATCAGTTAACCAACCTGGTTTTTACATATTTTATCAGAAAGAAGAAAGCAACATACTGAACATTAAAAAAAAAAAAAACACAGTTTGAGTCAAACTTCTCTTTAACGACGTGCTTCCATGTTCCCACATCCCAGCGAATAACCCTGTGAATCCAATGTTATTGTACACAACACATTAGAGCTTGCACTCTATTGACTGAGATAAACACATTACACAGCGAGGCTCACGCTTTTATTTATGTTTTTATTCATTTTGAGGCCTATTTTGTCTTCATTTTAGAAGGATTCCTATTTTCTATATAAAGAGGAAAGTTGCTGTTTGCAGGTCATTGACGTGTAGTCGAGTTTCCTACATGTGATTGAAATGTGCACGGCTGTTATAGACGTGATAAGCTTTGTAAAAATATAAATTGCAATAAGTTGCTTTTCTGGCCTCCAATCCAGCTTGTCTATTTTGCATTTAAGCAGCCAGTCAAAAACAAGCAAAGACTTAGAAAGACAACAGCACTAACAAACAGGTTAATTCAACATTAGAGTCAGTGGTTTTTGCAACAGAAGAAGCCGTAGACAAGCACGCACAATTTGATTATGATTATTATTGATGAGTGAAGAGATAATCTGTCCAATGCAAAGATTTGTCTTGTATTTCTTGTCCCTGTAGCTGCCTTACAGTTTTAAGATTTTGTTTTTTAAAATTCTGAAAATGAACCATGTCCAAGTTTTTTGCTATTTTTTACCAAGCTAACATGCTACATGCTAACAGTTCTGCAATAGCAGAAAACATTTGATGAGATTTTAACTCTTCTACAGGAAAAGCTAACAGAATTTTCTACATTGAGAAAGATTTCAGGGCATTGAAGGCACATCGCATGTGTGAATCTGTTGTGTGTACGGCGTGACTGGAGCTGCATACGCAGCAGGTACGTACCAGCTCTATCTCACTGTCATTTATCCCACTCAAGTCGAGCTCCCCGCTGTCAGCAGCACCATCTGTCACAGAGACACACACCAGAATGGACACTCTTAGATTTGCTGTAACACACGTTTTTACTCCAGCCGCCCCATCCCAAAGGGCTGAAACAGGAAACGGCAGCTTGCAAAAACAAATAAATAAATAAATAAAATCTCTTCCTTGTGGAAGATCTGTGAAGCATCTTCTATCAGGAGGAAATCGCTAAATTAAAAAAAAGAAATAGAAAAATGCACTGTGACTTCTAATAAGACGCTAACAGGCTTAACTCACTTTAAGCCGATCTACCTTCACACGCTTTCTTTTCAATTACGATACGCTTTCTAGATTTCAGCACGCTTTATTTTGAAACACTGGGATGCTGAAACAGCAATTTGCATTTTTCATAAGATGGCTGAGACACGCTCCCGCTCCTACCTGTGAAGGATGTGTCGATGAAGGAAAGCGGTATCTCAAATCTTCCGGTTGCACAAAGTCCAATTTTGGAAAAGAAATTTCAAAGAAAATCTGATTGGCTTTGATAAAAGGAAACAAAAGATGACTTTTTTCTTTCTTTGGAAGAAGCGGGAGCGTGTGCCGGCTTTGACAGGAGAAGGAAACCATCAATGGAAATTCAACAGCTTTCACTCCAAAAGATTCTCCACCTTGATTAGCTGTTTTGCAACAAAGTGCAGTGTTTCTCTGGCTGCCTGCAGACATCAGACAGGCAAAGACTGAAAGGCTCGATCTGAAGAAGCAGCAAGCAAAAGGTTTATGGGAGTCATTTAACTTCTGTCAGGCTTTCTGTGTTTGACATGTTCACAGGGGCCCTTCTTTCCTGAAGTTCAAACTCCCAGTCGGCGGCAACTTCAAAGAAGAGCCACCTGAGTCCACGGGCAGCTTCCCGGCTTCATTAAGGAGAGACAGGTGCACAGACAGGCAGGGAAGAGGCAGAGAAGAAGAAATACATTCATCCTCAGACAGTAAAGGGTGTGTTTGCTGCACCAGTGGAGAGGTTGGGGGGGGGGGGCTAATCTAGTCAGCTTTTTTTTTAGTTCAGTTAGCAGATTGCAGCTTCCTTAAAAAAGAAACCGCTCCAGAGGAAGAGACAGGTCAGTCGCTATCTGTCGGGCCCAGCCCTCTAAGAACTTCCTCCCCATGAAGTGCGGGGCCGAGATAAGACAGAGACAAGCCCTGGGAGAGATCGGCAGCTCCGGGAGGCAGAGAGGGAGCGACACTGAGAGCTGATAACACCAGTCCAACCCCGCAGAGAGCAGGGGGGAGGGAGCAATTACTGAGTTATTATTCAGCCGCTGCTTTGATATATCGACACTTGCTAATTTTAATCAAACCCATAAAATTGTTCTTGGTGAGAGTGCAGGAGAATCTGTGGACCGCAGGTTGACAATTTGCCTCGGTATATCAGGAAGGTAAAGCTGAAATAAGAGACATCGGGCTCTTCGATTTCACTTTCCTGCCTATTCGTCTTTTTAATGAAGATGTGAAGGGTGCAGAGCCAACAGGCAGGGATGTCACGTGAAGTCGAGGACCAATATATAACTTTATTGCTTCCAACAAGGAGATGCACGTCTCCTCAGGTACGAGTAATCGGGACTCAGCCTGATGATAAATGCAGCATCTACAGCTAACTTCACAGTGAAGGACTACACACATACAGAGAAGACTCAAAGCACTGAGGAACTTTTAACATTCAGATTTCATCCAACTGAATATCTATTACACCCCCACTTTCATTATGGCACAAGAGTGAGCCTAAACATGTGACGTTTGAAAAAAACAAAGCTGTTTACACTGTGTCGATGGTGTTAAATAATCGGTTAAGTGAGGACCTGAGGTGAAATTCTAGGTATTAGAGGAAGTCTAATAATCTGGACATACAGAGAAAGAAAACTAAAAGGAGCAGGTCACTAAAGCTTTTTTGGAAAGTACTATTTTGTTGTACGAGACCACAGAACATGCACCAGCTTCTCAGATATATAATTTAAGGTCTCCTCTCTCTGGCACAAAAAGCTATGACCTGTTGAGGTACAGATACAGGACGTCAGTGTCCTGTTGGGCAGGCTGGCATTTAGACATAGGCAGTAGTTTATGCAGGTTTAGCTTCCTGGAGCCGGGGTGCACCGTCCTGCAGGAGGTGGTGCCTGAATCTAAAAACCAAGTAATGTGCAATTAATAGATTACGAACAAGGTTTTACTACCCAAATATCACAACCCACTCTGTTCAGTTAAGCTAACAATCTTTTTATTTGGATGACGCTGCTGACTTCAGAGAAACAACAAACAAAATCCTCTTTTAAGAAACCTTGAAGCATTATGAATTTGTTCCTGGTTTCAATGGTACAACCAACTAGCTGAACTTGTCATTCAGATCAACACTTTTTCATACAAGATAAAAATCTGATAAAACCTGAAGAATCTCAAAATGACTGAAGGAAAAAACAAAACATGTGCTTTATGTTACTTCGAAGGTCTAATGATGAATTTAGAATAAGTAGTAGGATACCATAAACGCATGATGGTCAGGCTGGGCTAAATAAGCACTAAATCCCAGCCCCTTTAATGAGATTATCTCATTATTACACAGAAGACAAAATAATTTAAGCCATCTGGCCCTCATCAGTGGAAATTCAGTGGAAACTGCTGAAGGCCAGAAACATTTTGTGTCACTATGAATAAGAAGTGGTGGATTACATCACCTCATTAGAGTGTGTGTGTGTGTGTGTGTGTGGGAGGGGGGGACGACTCGCAGCACATTCACAAAACTTCCAAATCCTAAAGGAAAACAGAAATCACCTCCCTGATGACCTTGTGCATGCAGAGAAACTACTTTTCTCTTCCTGTCCAGGCTGACAGGAGCCTGAGGTCTTTTGGCAGCAGCTCAGTAGCTCAGAGATGCAGCTCTGCCTGCACATCAGCGCTGAGGAGGAAAAAGAACCAAAAAAGAAAACACACACACACACACAATTTCACACACACAATTTCACACACACACACACACACACACACACACACACACACACACACAATTTCACAAACAAACACTACTCCTGACAATAACGTAATAAATTCTTTTAAATGGTAAAATGGTAAATGGCCTGTATTTGTATAGCGCTTTACTTAGTCCTTAAGGACCCCAAAGCGCTTTACACGTTC